GTTTGTTTTGGAATAATAGCAAGAATTATATATACATGCATACATAGGTAGGTATGCAATTCCCTTTATGTCTTTAAAAAGAGGGTCTTATTAACCTAAATTTTTGAAAAATGTTCTTATCTTTATTTGGTATGACATGAGGAAGAATAATTCATGACAACAATGATTTCGATTGTTTAAAAAACAACCATTTTTCGGGTTGGTGGTATTTCCCTAAATTTCGTGTGAAATCCATATATCCCTAGATCTTCGCTGATTTCCATAGAAAAGGGAAATTTCCCTAGCAGCGGTAACGCTGGCCCGACAATGCCCGTTGGCCGGGCGCTTGTGTTCGTTGCTATGACAACCTCGCCATTGCATGGCGTCTCTATTCCGGAGAGCGATGTAGCATATCCATAACACTCTTCACCTCCGACTTACGCCGTGTTTGTGGACTCGACTGTAAAGCATAACACACAAAACACTGGAAAAGTTAGACAAGTTTTGTTTGTTTTGTTTTTTTCTCACGGACAATGACAACATTGCCACTGTGTTTTTACATTGTCATTGTATTGTCATTGTCTGTGCGAAAACAAACACACAACACTTTTAGACATAACTCAACACACGGACACTTTCACGTCCCTTAGTCATTGAGCCACCACGGGTTCAACGAGCGCGCTCCGATCGGCAGAGTCCGACATCATCTGAGAATGAGGCAATCTCTGGCAGCCGGAACTGCTCGCGTCGAGGCTGGGGCTCGCTCGTTGACGTTACTTAGAGTTCCTCCACCTAAGCTGGGCATAGGGCCTTGCGCTGGGCCAAGTTGAACTGGCGTTTCTTCATCAGGCGTCCCATCGTGTTCCAGGTCAAGCAGCAACCCCGGAGCATCCGCCCCAAGCTGCCAACTAGCTCGGTTGGCCCTGACGGCCGTGGAGTCAGCCAAAGACCCTAGTTTATACCAGTCAGCCCACATGGCACCGGAAGACTAACGTCTCGCTGCTTCTCGACTCCTCGTCGCCCCGCTGAAGTGTCTCCGCGTCCCTTTGAGGAGCCTGTACAAACACGGAGACACTCACTGAAGGTACGCAAGGGCGTTCTTCCACTGCCTGTGGGGGCTGCGTATGGTGCACCCGCTCTTCTTGACCTCTTTCTTTGGTCCTTCAACCGTTAGAAATTAATGGTGTGAAGTGCCTTAGCGAGGAACATAGTGAGAATAAATACGTGAAGAATCATTGAACTTTTCCTCGAAGAAGTAAAAACAATAACTTTTGGCGTCGTTTTTACTTCTTCGAGGAAAGGGTCAATGTTTCGTCACGTATGTCCAGTCACACCAAGCTCAAGAAGGTGTGCGCTCAAACAGCTTGTGCGAGGCGAAGATCCCAGTCACCTTGCGCTCCGTACAGCATGCGCAGCGACTGTTCAAGCGTAGGATTCAATCGTTTCACCGCGCCACGAACTTGCACGCGTCGCGAATTTTCAATCAATCGAATCTTCACCGTTTTCAATCGAATTTTCACCGTTTACAGGCATTTCAAGAAATGCGTAGTACAATCGAGTAAGATGCATTTCATTGAAAATCATCGATGGGGTATTGTTCGTCAAACACATATTTTGCTATTTGAGGTCACTGATGTCAGGTCAGGTCACTGACGGTCACAATATGAAAATATTATGTGATACATGTTTTATGGTCCATTGTATATGTCAAATGCGATTATGTGGGTCAGGCAGCCTTTGGGGTCAGTTTAGATTATGTTCTGGTGAAGGTCAGGTCAAGGTCAGCTCAAGCGTCAGGTCAAATTAGGTAAATTTTCAAAGTTAATATTTTTGCATAAAATGGGTAATGGGTATCGATTCGATGCAGCTCGGCACGGGGAGTTCAATGGTCCTCTTTGTTTTGCGCTACGTGCTCTAAAATTGCCATAAATTGAGTTAAAAAATTTGACGTCATCAATTTTGAACAGTTTTTTTTCGCTATAACTAGGCCAAAAAAAGAGGTATCGATCTAAAAATTAGTATGTGGATAGTAGAGCGCAGGGACTATCACACATTTTCCGTTTTTTTTTTTAAAATAAAAATGGGATTTTTTGCCTTTTTATAAAAAAAATCAATTTTTTGAATTTTTGGGGTCAAAAATCCATTAATTTTGAAAATCCGAGACAGTAGTTTGGTACCGCCGTCTTTTCTCTATATGACCATTAAAAAAAAAAACTTGAAAATGCTAAGTATCTGTAGCTTTGGTGAGCGTTTCAAGATTTTATATTTTTGGCTCATTTTTGCTCGAACATGACCTCAGTTTGACATCAATAACTCCTGACCTAAGGTGACCTTAGACTTGAAATTTAGTGTGAAGGTGTCAAATTGATGCCCGGTATGGTACTGAAAATTTGGCCGCCGTTTTCTTGCTATTCAGGAAAAACCACAGGGGTGGGGGGGGGGGCAAATTGCACTCCCCCAGCGGGGCGAGGACTTAAAAGGGAGCGTAAACCTTACTTACGGTTCATTCACATGACGTTGAAAACCCTGAGCACGAAATTTCTTACGCGAGATGTTGCCTTTACTAATAAAACGACGTCTTTTTCTAAAAATGTTAAAATTTGATATTCAATCTTTGTTTGAAAGCAAGTATTGGACTGTAGAATTGTATTATTAGATAATCATAATTTTTATGGCTGTTTGTAGACCCACAAGAAAATAATTGCTACTTCTTTGCTACTGACGTCATGAAGAACTCCAATAAACTTTTAGATTGAAAGAGGCAATTGTGGCTCGCATGTCCTTGGTGATTTGAGCGCAGCTTGAAGAAAAATGAAAATCAAATTGGAAAAATCAGAATAGATGAATATTTTTCTTTCTTGGATGCTTACTAGTGTTTTGATGCCTTGCATATCAAATTAGTTTGAGACTTGCCCAGAAGGCTGCTTCAAGCCTGGCATATCACACCCCAGAAAATATGCAAGGTAAGAAAGAAGCAAGAGTTTTGACTATCAGGACAATCACTGTTTGACAGTTAATCAACAGTTTCATTTTCCATAACATTGATATTTGATAATGAAAAGTATCAGGTCTGTCCCACAACCATGCTTCAGGATTTGGCATTAGATGTCTACACTGCTTCTATTGTGGTTCGTTGTTTATGTTTTCTGTTCATGTAGGTACCTACCCATCTTTGTTAACCCTCACCGGCCGAGGGGGGGGGGGCGGGTGCCGCCCCCCTCCCATAATTTTTTTCGCGATAGCTCCGAACACGCTAGAGATAGAGAGCTGAAACTTTACATACCTAACCTTTGATTCAAGCCGGATCTTTTGACACCAACCGCATTTTTGAGTCAGGTCAGGTCAATGACCTATGACGTCATAAGTGAACCTCTGCACGGTCTTCAGATGTCGCAACTTCGCAACGCCCTCACTGCCAGAGGAGATGTCATAGGGAAATGAAACTTGCAGGATCTAGTATCCATTATGAGTTTCACAACTTGTATATCTCGGATTTTTCCTAAAGGCCATATGAGGTCAGGTCGTTTTCGTGACCTCACCATTATAAGTCAATGGGGAAAAATGAAAACTGCTATTCTGGCGCCGGGAACGATCTCCAACTATATCAAGCACACAGAATCATGATTTGGTGCACTCCTTGCAAGGTTAGATGCGTCAATTTTGCAATGTTGACCTTGCGTGACGTCATTTATGACGTCATCAAGGTCATATTAGTTTTTCGTCAATAACTCCCGATCAAATTGAGCTAGCGAGTCGGGAAAGCCACCAATGGACTCAGAAAGACCTGCCGAATCGAATGATGTGCGACATGACCTCTTTCGACCAACTTCGTGACCTGGGGGTGCTGACCTGAATTTGACCTGAGGTCAACACCCTAAGTTGACCTGACCCGAACAAAAAGTATATCATTCGAGCGCCTAATCGAGGCGAACGCGATGCTGCCAAAATCGCGGCTCTGCGGCCGTTTTTGTGAAGTTATTCACCAAAAACTGAATCGTACCTTGGGGCACTTGACCTGACCTCAGAGGTTACCTCAGAGGTTACAGGACCTAGGACCTTAAAATCGGGTACCAATCTCTGCGTCTCGTAACGGCTCACACGCTCGTTTTTTCCGCGATGCGCTAGCTTCACCAGGGGCGAAACGGCGAGGGGGGTCGTATCCGCCCCCCCCCTCGGCCGGCGCGTATGTAGAAAACCCATAGGTCCAGCGAGGGTTAACCCCTTGCAAGGGCGTTGTGTAGACAGACCTGAAGGCTGTTCACGGGCCCTGTGTGCGGTCGGACCGCAAAGCTCCGCCCACTGCGTCCCTACGTCAGCCTTCCGTCACCGCACACAGCGATCGCTGTGGCCGGTCGGGACTGGTCACAGCGGGCCGTCTACCGCACGCAGCCGTGACGTCAGAACCGCCTACCCATCTCCTACCCCCACGCCTGCTGGACCCACCGCACACACCGCACGCAGCAGTGTGCGGTGCCCGTGAACAGCCCTCTGTTTTATGAGCTTGATAATATATAGCCCATTGGAATGTGCTTTTGGCTATATGTATAAACTAAAAATAACTTATTTTATTTATACTATTTGGTTGCATTTCATTGAAAGTATCCACGGCCGGCTGACGGCTGGCTGCCCACAGTTTGCCACGGCTGTGGGCGGCTGTGGCTGTGGAACCACGGCTGCGGGGCGGCTAGGCTGTGGAAAATTGCAGCCGTGCAGAACTCTACTCGTCGTGTTGCCTAAGTCCTGAAAGTCGCTTAGATCTAATGGACAGTGGTCCGATAACACAAACATGCCGCACTAGCGCACCCTTTCAGTGATAACTGGTGATGTTTTTAGGAAGGGCAAAAGCCTTCTCGATATTATCAGGAAGCTAAATCAAATGCCCTTCTCAGCTCTTCGTCATGTCTATGGCAGTTTTTCATCTGGAACGTCAAGATGGTAGCACGGATTGTCCTAAAAACCACACATACACATTTGCTTTTGTTTGGTTTATTTGAAGCAGACAACTAACAAAGTAAGAACCCATCAACAGCAACAGAAGCGTGGCTTAACGTCACACAGCAGCACATGAACTGAACTACAAGCCACAAGAAACGGAATAAAAGGAGTAGTGATAAATCGATGTAAAACAGGTAGGTAGTCGCAATCATAGGTGGGCCCAAAAAGACTTTCAAGTCACAACACGCATAAGCTCAAAACATGTTCACTTCTGTCGGAAGCATGACTCAATGAGGGTTCAGTTATCCGGAAGTCGCTCTTTGGAGACGATCATCTGCCTTATACGAAGGTGACGCTAGCAGTGAATCCTTTCTGATAGTACGGATAGTTACCGTAGCCATAGCTGTGAAACTCTAGGGCCAGACGCTCGCCTGACGACGTGATACTTTGGTTCTGAAGCTCCATGCCGCAATTGACGTAGTCTGGAATCGAGTCGCTGTCAGTGTGCACGGTCACCCAGTCAAAGGGACACTTGCCACCAGAGCGGTAGAGGATCCCGAACGCGCCGAAGTCGATGCGGACCTGCATACCTGCGGGCGCGGTGACGATCCAGACACAGTGCTGTCCGGGAGGGTATATACTGGGGTAGTCGGGCGAGGTGATTGTGCCGGCCGTGGCGATGCTCTGGTCGCCGCACGGCGCCTCGTAGTAGGTGCCCGTGACGGTTTGGCACGTGGCGCCGCTGGTTCCCGGAGGACACGCGCACGTGCAGCTGCTGTCCACGTAGCCGCCGTTGGCGCAGGTGGGCGGGGATGAGCAGCTGTCGTCGCAGAGGTACATCAGGTTGGCCAGGTGCTTGTCGCGGTGTGAGAGACCATCGCGATTCCCAATTAGTCCGGCCTGAGCGATGTCGTTGGTGACGAGTGTCGGAAAACTATTATTAGTGAACTGGAATCCACCATAGTGCATGACGGAGCTCAAGTCGTATGGAACTCCAAGCGATTGTGAAGCTGATGCGATGTAGAAGTTGGGTTCGTATCCACTTTTAATGTTGTCCCAAATGACCGTGACATAGGAGTCCCGATCCGTCCGAGATTGTTCGTGCCAGAACCCGATGGCATGGCCGATCTCGTGTATCACAGTACCGAGAAAAGCACATCCACTTCCAATGCTGACTTCTTGGCCGCTGTTAGAGCTCACCATGCCAACGTACGAATAGCATCCTGATCCCTGGAAGAAGCGCAGGTGCGGCCCGCTGCTGTAACTTTCGGGCTTTTCTTCAAATGTGATGCACGTTGCTGCCTCCCACTCAGCGATGGCTGCTAGGATTACGGGTCTGTCGTAGGAAGACGAAGCATTTATAACAAAAGGTATATTTCCATTTGGCCACGTTTGAAAAATGTTACCTTTGCGATTGACGCGTTGTTCTTCCGTCAGGATGATGTCTCCTTCGAAAAGTTCTTCCACTGTTCCGTCTGGCAGGGTAACATTACAGGGAAGTTCTGTGTCGAACGGAGGTAGTACTGGTGGAGGCTCGATGACGTCAGGGTTCTTTGCTTCAGTGGGAACGGAGCCTGTTGCGGCCACCGATGCCGCTGCCACTGACAGAAGAAGCACCAGGTTGAGACGAGCCATGGCTGTGATGTGCCAAGGGCTCTTTGGGCGTCTTTTTATATCCCAGATTGCGGCATGAGTTGCGTGACGTTCTTGAAAGTAATTTACTCAAGATCAATTTGCTGGGGCCTCAACATCCCATCTTATTACACGAACACCACCTGTTGCTGATGGAGGACTTGACACATGCGTCCCACGCAAATCGCATATGTGAATGACAAACGAGACTCCGGGTGTGGGTATCAGCCACGCCGACATAATGGTGGGGGAAGGGTGCCTCCTTCGATTTCGCAAACTAAGAAAGCTAGAAAAAGGTGAGAAAAGCATAGCTGGTTTTCAAAGAGTACAAAAGAAGCGCAACAGTTATTAATTACCAAGGGCAATGACCAAGTCCTTAGAGGTCACTGAAGTTAAATTCTCCCGCAACATTTCCCCATTTCCATATTTTTCATAAATTGACGCATAATTGGTGAACCATAAGATCTACAGCGTGCCCCAAAAGCACAATCGATACTCGATAGCCCTTTTTAACCTCGACCGTATTGGCGTTTTGCCTGCCGCTAACGTACGGGGGGGGGGGCGTATGACCCCCAGTCCTGACCGAGCTAGAGCTTTGCATAGAAACGGGCGTACTACCCGTGACGCGAGAAAGCCGATTGTACTCAATTGTAAGGTCCTATTTCATTGGATGGCCTTCCAGGTGAAAAGTCAATAAGTAACTCAAAAGTCGGGAAAATCTACACTTGCTAAAGCTTCTCAAAGTAGGGTTGCGATGAGGTTCTTCGGGGTTCTGATTTCAAATCGAATATTAGTTTTGACCAAAGACGACATATCCATGCATTTGGGAAAGGTTGGGTCAGACCGCTCAAAAGTTATTCACAAAAACTTAACCCGCGCCCCAGTGGGGTCTGTGTATAACACGCCCTACTGGGGGGAGAATTACTAGAAATTACTAGAAAAGTTGTGAACCGATTTTCTTATTTCTTGCACGGGAAGATCCGCAATTCAATTCTGGACAGGTAGCCAAAATTTCATATCAATATTATGTTCGCGGCGCGAGTTATTGGCGAAAAACAAGAGGGGTGGGCGAAATCCGCCCCCTTCCACTGCGCGTGTTAACCCTCGCCGGCACAGGGGGTTGATGCAACCCCCCCTAAGGTTTTTCGCGAATAACTCGCGTAAAAAGCGGCTGATCGCGACGAAACTTTCAGTACCCTCGCATTGGTCAATTTTACACCTACCCTAAAAATTTCATGACCCTGACCCCAATGACCTTTGACCTGTGACCTCTTTTCAATGACCATGTTTGGCCGAAATCGAGGTTCGGCGCATGTCGGCTCGCATTAGCCGCGCGTTTGCAAGCTTTTCGTGGTTTCAAACGTTCAAACATGTGATTTGATGTTGCTCCCATGCATTAGGGTGGGTGTCAAGGTCACCTGAAGGTCAGGTCAGGTCATTGACCTTTAGTGACCTCGGGTGACCTCGGCTCACTTTTTCGAGTTTTACATGTTTCTAGGCTATTTTTTTGGAGCTGAATTCGAATTTAGCAACCATTTGAACATTTACGAAGTAGTTTTGGTGCCTTCGTAACATGTTACGAAGCTGTCCGAGGCGGTTGACACGTATTACAAATACCCGTCACAACCCCTACCGGTTGACCTGACCTGACCTGACCCGACCTGGTCTAAATGCTTAAAGACATCATCTCTGATCAAAACTAACACGATATTCGTGATCAGCACCCCGGAAAACCATACAGCAGCCACACTTTACGACTTTCTAACAGGTCCCGATTTTCCCGGTTTTCGGGTCATTGACCTGACCTGGAAGGTCACCCGATGACCTAGGACCTTAAAATTGGGTATCATCGGCTTCCTCTCGTGACGGGCAACACGCTCGTTTTTTTCCGCGAAGCTCTAGCTCGATCAGGGGCCAAACGCGAGGGGGGGTCGTACCCCCCCCCCCCCTTGTGCCGCCGAAGGACTCAAAATGGCGGCTGTGCCGGCGAGGGTTAACCCTCGCACCGACGGGGGGGGGCGGATATCCGCCCCCCCCCTGAGGTTTTTCGCGAATAGCGGGAAAACCGCGGCGCGTAGCGCCGCGAAATTTGGTATGACTATAACCTCATCAATTTTACACATGGTGTGCAAGTTTGAACCTCCGACCTTTTAAGGTCAGGTCACCAGGTCACTTTGAATGACCCAACCTCAAGTCACTTTTTTGCAACTTTGTCACCGTGCCAGAGCTACAGTAGATGTCGGAGGCCTTTGAAAGTCGCAGGATATTATTAGGTCATTAGTAGCTACAATTTGTTTATCTCGGAATTTTGATATCGATGACCTAAGGTCAGGTCAATTTCGCGACCTCCCCATTATAAGTCAATGGGGGAAAAATCAACTCCCTGTTTTTACCACTAAAACGGGTCGGAATGGCCCCATATACCATACATGACTTCATATACGATCAACCTTCACTACCTTGAGGTCTGTTTTGCTGTTGGGCTGCTGTGAGGTCATGTGACGTCATCAAAGGTCACCAAAGGTTTTTGGCCAATAATTCCGTACAGGAACAAGATACAGACGCGTGGATGGTCTCATTATGTTCAGCTCGTCAAGACGCATCGAATGATATACATGATGACCTCGAGGTCACGTGACCTGAGGTCAACCTTTGACCGTGACCTTTCGAGGTCAACATATATATCATTCGATGCGGATTGACGAGAGGATCACGATGATGCCCTTAGTTTGTTCCTATCTTGACTAATTCGAAAGTTATTCGAGAAAAACTCTCTCCATATCTAGCGCCGCCATTTTGACTTTTTCGACCCCTGTGACGTCATATTTGACCTGACCTGAAAATGACCTTCGTAAAAATTGTAGATCTTGGCCGTGCGTATCCGATGCCGTTTACTGCTTGTCGCTATCTTGCTTCGTTCTCGAGATCTCAGGGGGGGCGGTCATCCGCCCCCCCCCCGTCGGTGCGAAGTTGGCGCAGACCCCCGTCGGTGCGCGGGTTAAGATATTCATCGTGACGTGGTATGACATCAGGATCATAATAAGGGATCACGGGTGCCATTTTCATGTTCAGTGTGTGGTGACCTCTAATTCAGTGTTTGAGAGGGGTTAGAATGAGGTTCCTCCAAAAGAGTCACCTTTCAATTTTCTCCCATTGACTTACTTATAATGGGGAGGTCGCAAAATCGACCTGACCTTAGGTTATGGATATCAAAATTCCGAGATCACAGTTTGCGCATACTGTTGCACTTATCAATCGCTGAAAATTGCAAAGTGATCGGTCACTCGGTGTAGCTATGACAGACATTAAAATTTTTATGAGGTGAGGTCACTTGAAGTGCCCTGGTGAGCTGGGCCAATTGCGCTCAAAGTCGGTACACCGCAAGAGACCGGTAAGTAGGGCACTGTGCGCAAGTCGGTCGGAATAACCCACACACATTTACACGTGCAGGGCTCACACTCGCGCTCGCTCGTTTATTGTCGCAAAAGGCATCTTGCTGATACTAAAATGATGATAAAGGCCGTAGCATAATGAGAAAGATAAACGTATTGCCGAACTATATGATGGAAAAAGGAAACAGCATACTCGTACGCCTTGTTTCTGCTCGTACAGGTACAGACATAGGTACAGCGTGTCCGGAAATTATTTGCCCCTTGTTTTTTTTCTGCTGTAATCCCACTGTGCGCTTTAAGAACTGTTATATTTTACTAAGACCGTGCCTCAGGCTATCAGCAACTGTCCGTTAGTCACATGACCTACCCCGGTCACCTGATCTTGGCACCGGTGAGGCGCCAGGGGCCAGTGTTTGGCAGGCGACACTCGCACCTGAACTGATGTCTATGTACAGTGGCCTCACACTAAATCAAGGCAGATATCATGGATGCAGTACCATAAGGCAAGCATCAAGCGAGCTTTGTTCTTCTTGTACGGAACTCTTCCTAACTTTGCGAATCTCTCGGAGAAACACTAAGACTAAGACGACATTGGCATACATAAATTATGCTTCAATAAAAATGTTGCACAATGCTGAGAGCGAAAATATATGGAAGCCTCTATGTTCCGACAAGTAGTTTTTGCACTCTTAGTGGCAGTTGCTTGACAAAAAATATCCTTTAGAATGATTGGCATAGCACTTATAGCTAAACACGCAAGGCGGGAGGGGAACTGGCTAGCCCATTCATCTTTTCGCTAAGGTAATTTTACAAGCGTCGGCACTCTTCAAGCTCCACATGTGCCTATATTATCAGCGGCTTTCGATGTGAAAAGCCACACGAAACATTCATATGTCGCCCGTGAAATGCTGTGGGTGTGTGCGGTATAAAGAGCGATCTGTTAAAACGTGTCGCCTTTGGAGCGTGCCGGCCTGTTGTCAAATGATGGCGATGTATGGGGAAGGGACAGCTGTGAGGACTATCACAGACCAATCCGTCTTAGAAAAGTAATATTTGCTGTGACACTAGGCTGGAGCGTGGGCGATGTGCTCTATCTAGTATGCATCCTATGGGCGATAAATAGATGCCTTGCTGTATAGACAAGTTCCTTATCAGTTGCATGCAAGCATTCAGCAAACATTATGCATCATGCCTTCGCTGATGGCTTCAATTAGAAAACTCAAATTGTGTGGATTTCTGTTTTTTATCACTATGTGACAAACAATACGATATTCCAAAGTTCACAAGCACGAAATTGGTGACCACCTTGTCATGCTTCGCCCTCGTGGCTCGTAGCAAGATGCTCGTAGAGCGGTATCCGAACGCAAAAAGCCAGTGTTATTTTGGTGTTGCTGTGGATGCGATACGTGCACAAGCTGGCTAAATAATCGTCAGACAATCAGCTCAGATAGCTCTTCCCGTATAGCGTAGACCTGTGGCAGCTGGAATCTGCTGACTGCTACAGGGCCCAACTTAATCTGCTGAATCTGGTGACACGGTCACAGCTGGAGATGTGACTGTGACGAAATGCTCTTTGCTTTGTAATTGTATATGCCAGACAACCCCAGTAATCTTGTTGCTCATACATAAATTCATAACGTGTTTTACTTATGTTTTGTATTGACTGGGCCATGCCTGATAAGCCACTAATGTTGTCATTATTTGTAAATAAACCTGAAACTGGTGATCTGATTGTCCAAAATGTCTTGTTTAGGAGTTTTAGGCATCCCTCTAAAAAAGGCATCATCATTCATGTAATCTCATCACTCAATCTACATGCATCGGACATACATTTTGCTTTATTTGTAATCCTCAGACGTTGAATGACATTTTTACAGGTGTCTAACGTATAGAAAGGTCGGGGTCATGATTTCGAATTTAATGTTAGTTTTGATCACAGATGATGTCTTCATGCATTTAACCCGCGACCGCCTGGGGGGGGGGGGTAGGATCCGACACCCGAAAAAATTCCATTTTTTTAGATATATCGATTTTAGTGATGTAACTACATGGCGTTTTTAGTCAAAAAGTGGTAAATGTTTAAAAAATCGCCAAAAATCAGGGTTTAAAGCAAATTGCAAATTAAGGACATGAAAAGACGCAGCTCAACGAGTTCGTTAAAATGGCTATCTCGGATTTTCCATAAAATGCGTTTTTCACCCCTAAAAAATCAAAACAATATATTTTTTGGAAAACAGCTAATAAAATCCAAAATTTTGGGAATTTCCAAAAAAACGGAATACATGTTGTAGAGCTCTATTAGAACATTAGATACCCCAAATTTCAACTTTCTATCTTGATTTTTTAACCCCCAAATTGTAAAAAATAGCTCCAACATGCATAGGACATGGTGACGTCATAAGCATTTTCGTGAATTAGAGGCACTTCAGAACATCGCATGTGAAAACAAATGGCACCACTAGATTCCTGGGACAAAGCTCGTCTAGAAAAGTGCATTTTTTTATGTAAAAATTGACTTTTTTCTTAGCCCTCGTTTAGTTATGTATGGTATAAACGATTTTTTATGCTTTCAATGCACACTTATCCCGCGCCCCGTTGGGCTCTGCCGAGCAACGCGCCCGGTTGGGGGGGGCCATTTTGGCCCCCCCCCCCTAAGATCTCGAGAACCACGCAACATAGCGACAAGCGGTAAACGGCGTTGGATAGCCCCAACGGGGAACTACCTTGTGCCCCAATTTTATTGACCTAGGTCAAACCGATGACGTCACAGGTCAGGTCAAAGGTCCAATTTTCACCGTTTACAGGCACTTCAAGAAATGCGTTGTAAAATCGAGTAAAATGCATTTCATTGAAAATCATCGATGGGGAAATGTTCTTCAAACACATATTTTGCTATTTGAGGTCACTGATACCAGGTCAGGTCACAGAGGTCAGGTCACGGGGGGTCACAATATGAAAGTGTCGTGTGATACATGTTTTATGGTCCATTTTACATGACAAATGCGATTATATGGGTCAGGCAGCCTTTGGGGCCAGCTTTGATCACGTTTTGGTCAAGGTCAGGTCAAGGTCAGGTCAAATTAGGTCAAATTTCAAAGTTAATATTTTTGCATAAAATGGGTATCGAATCGATGCAGCTCGTCACGGGGAGTTCAATGGTGGTCTTTGTTTTGCCGTAGGTGGTCTAGAATTGCTAAAAATTGAGTTCAAAAATTTTACGTCATCATTTTTGAACAGTTTTTTCGCTATAACTTGACCAAAAAACGAGATATCGATCTGAAATTTGGTATGTATATAGAAGAGCGCTGGAACTATCACATATATTCCGGTTTTTTCGAAATTCGGAAAATTTTTGGATTTTTTCAAAGTTTTTCTAAAAATTTCAATTTTTTGAATTTTTTTTGGTCAAAAACCAAAAATTTTGAAAATCCGAGATAGCAGTTTTGTAGCGCCGCTTTTTGTCTACTAGACCATATAAAGAACTTTGAAATTGCTTGATAACTGTAGATTTGGTGAGCGTTTCAAGATTGCATGTTTTTTGCTCATTTTTGCTCGAACATGACCTCAGTTTGACCTCAATAACTCCTGACCTAAGGTGACCTGAGACTTGAAATTTGGTGTGAAGGTGTCAAATTGATGCCCGGGAAGGTACTGAAAATTTGGCGGCGCTGCGCGCCGCCGTTTTCTTGCTATTCAGGAAAAACCACAGGGGGGGGGCCAAAATGGCCCCCCCCCCAACGGGGCGAGGGTTATCACCAGCACAGTGACTTGGGGTCACATATAACCATTACCATCGGATTCCGCGTGAAAAATAAGCCATAAAACATATGTCGCACGCCCATGTAGCAGAAAGTGAAAACCGTGACCTTCGTGACCTGACCTGACCTTGACTCGTACTTAGTATGACCCCTATACGCACATGGTACCTTCACTAGGCCTTTGAGGTCATTTTTGGTGAGTTTCGAGCAGCAGCTATCGATTCCGCTGTCCGTAAGCCTAATCATGCAAAACCCCTGAATTTGACCTTTGACCTGACCTTGACCCGAAAGTTGACCTTAATCTTAAAATCTTAAGAGTGCTTTGGGAACGTCTCGTAGAGACCTTTCGAACGCCGCCTCGCAGGGCTCGATACGACCATTGGTTCTCGAGATAACAGGGGGTCGGATCCGACCCCCCCCCCCCCAGGCTGTCGTGGGTACGGAAATAGCCCAGGCGGTGCCGGGTTAAGCCAGGTCGGGTCAGGTCAGGTCAGGCCAACTAGTAGGCATCTTGCCGGCTATCCATCGCAGGTGGCATCTCCACTGTCAGCTTCGTAATGTTACGTAGGCTCCAAAAGTACTTCCTGTAGTCCATGCCATGCTGGGGGGGGGGGGGGGGGGGGCGTCGATTTCACGCCCCTTTTTCGCAAATATCTCAAAAACGGCGGCGCTGTGTAGTGTGTACTGCCATTTTGGCAAACCTATTTATGCATCTTCCCCGCACATGATGTGAACTTTCAAACCTGGGTCTTTCAATTTCAGATCACCCTAGGTCACGTCACGTCAAGTGACATTGCCTCAGAAAAAATCTCCAGTGCTCGCTGTAGCTACACCGACTAAACGATCGCTTTGAGATTTTCAGAGACTGCCGGACTGTACATAGTTCTATTGGTTCCCGAGGCGTCGGTGTTTCGAAAATTGTTGAGAAAAGACAAAAGTTGACCTTTGATGACCTCTGGCGACCTGACCTTTGACCTGATCCAAAATGACCGAAGTATGTATTTCCTTCATTATTCTTGACGTTTTCTAGTGCCGCTTACCACGTGTCGCTACATGGCCTAAGTGCCGAGTTAGACGGGAAGGGAGGGGGTGCGTAAAACCCCCACCCCCAGCACACCACGGAATGAAACTGATCATTACCACGGTTCGGGATGAATGTTTCAATGGGTGTTAAATTCGAAATCAGCGAAAAAACAGGGCTTCGGAGTCGAAATCTGGGCCGGATTTGGAGGTGGGCGAATTCGACATTTTTGTCCGGAGTCGAAATCTGAGTTGGAGTCGCCAAAGTCTTACCGACTTCGACTTCGGAGTCAGAGTTATGATTTTGATACTTTTGTCCAACACCACAGAACGAAAGCAACATGTAACTTGCAGTCTAACTAAAATGTACGAAATGAGTGGCATTTTTCGTTTATATTTTTCTAGCACTGCACTTCGTATAACAAAAGAGTGTGTGCCAACTGCCAACTGTAGGTACAGGTGTCAAACAGGCGCCGCGAGGGACACATATATCATCTACCACTATGCGTGTTTCATGCGTGCTTCTCTTGCAGACAAATGACCCACCAGCAACTCAGCAAAATACACCCCTACAACTCAAAAACACATTTTAACTCATTCCGAAATGTCACGCAATGACATTGGAAATCTGGGGTATAAAAGTGGCTCTTGCTTGGTCTACTCCACACTTCAGCCATGGCGCGTCTCCAACTTGCAGTTCTGCTGTCGGTAGCGGCGGTAGCGTTGCAGAGGACAGGCTCCACTCCAGTCAGGATTGCCGAGGCGGAGGATATCACGACGCCCGCGCCTCCTCCGATACCTCCATTCATGGTCGACCCGCCTCTGAACGTCACTATACTGGATGGATCCGTTGAAGAGCTTTTCGAAGGGGACATCGTCCTCACCAAAGATCAGCGTCTCAACCGTAAGGGTGCTCTGGCATCGACCTGGCCGAATGCAGTTGTACCGTATGTAATCACCAAATCCTCTAGGGGTGACGAGACCATCATTCTAGAAGCAATTGCTCATTGGGAGACTGCAACGTGCCTCAGTTTCGAGAGGAAACGAGGACAATACAGGAAAGGGCCGCACATTCGCTTCGAAAAGTTGTCAGGATGCTGGTCCTACGTTGGTATGAGAAAGTCGAAGGAAGGTCAGACAATTAGCATTGGGAATAATTGCGAATATCTCGGTATTGTGGTACACGAGATTGGCCATGCTATCGGATTCTGGCACGAACAGTCCCGTACAGATCGAGACTCGTACGTCACGGTCATTTCGGAGAACATCCAAACTGACCGAGAAGGTAATTTCAACATAGCGTTCACCGAACAGTCATTGGGAGTTCCGTACGACTTTAGCTCCTTGATGCACTACGGTGGATTTGCTTTCACCAATAATGGTTTTCCGACACTCGTCACCAACGACATCGTCAATTCAGGACTTATTGGAAAGCGGAATGGTCTCTCACACCGCGACAAGCACCTGGCCAACCTGATGTACCTCTGCGACGCCAGCTGCTCGTCCCCGCCCACCTGCGCCAACGGCGGCTACTTGGACAGCAGCTGCACGTGCGTGTGTCCTCCGGGAACCAGCGGCGCCACGTGCCAAACCGTCACGGGCACCTACTACGAGGCGCCGTGCGGCGACCAGGACATCACAACGGAGGGAAACATCACCTCGCCCAACTACCCCAACATATACGCGCCCGGACTGCACTGCGTCTGGATCGTCACCGCGCCAGAAGGAATGCAGGTCCTCATCGAGTTCGGCACGTTCAAGATGTTCAGTCGCTCTGATGTCAGGTGTCCCTTTGACTGGGTGACCGTGCACACCGATAGCGACTCGATTCCAGACTATGTCAACTGCGACGAGGAGCTGCAGAATAAGAACATCACGTCGTCAGGCGATCGTCTGGCTCTGGAGTTTCACAGCTATGGTGGTGGCAGCTTCCCTGCTAATCAGACGGGATTTACGTCAACGGTGACGTTCGTCTAGGGGATTGACGAGAGGCCCTTCCTCGGGCCACACTTGACAACGGGAATTGGTCACTTCTTTCTCGGGCATCTTACTTGGCTTGTCTGTAGCTGTTTTGATCAGAAGTTTTTGAAAGGAAATGGTGTGATGGGTATGGTGACAATTTGTGCGTGTGTGAGATGCAAAGCAATCACAATTAATTTGTTTGCCCCATGGTAGAGATAGAACTTGCGATGTTTTTCACATCCTGGGGGTTTGGATCAATAAATAAAGAAACAAACCGGTTCTCTATATTATCTTCATTATCTGGCTGGAAGGAAAGTTGCCTTTTTCCTGATTTAAATAGGCATGTTTTTCAATTCACTTGTTTGGTGTATGGTCTGACCACTGCAGGTGTCGTTTTTTGTTTTCTTCAATAAGCCGACATTACATCACGATACTACTTGGCAATAATCTTGGTCCATCTTTGGGTGGTACCATTAGGGTGACGAGTCGGTTCAAAGAGCTTTAGCACTAATCAACATGCTAATACATGCTACATTTCACAGCTAAAATAATCATGTAAAACGTCACGGCATGTCATAGAGTCAACAAAAATATTCACCTTCTGAGCTAGCCCGTAATCGCCACGCTGTATGTGGAAAGCTTGTGATGTCAATACATGCACACATGCGTACAACACTTCTACAAATGCCTCGGCAGTTTATGAGAGAGCTTGCGAGTAACGATTGTATGCGACATCACCTATTTAGCGAGGACTGTACAAAGTAGGCACTGCGTATATACGGCATTACACTGAAAGAAAAAATGACACCCTGTACGGGGTATTGACGGTCATGTCAAAAATAACACCCGAGTGGGGTGTTTTGAGGGGAGTCGCTGAGCTATTATAAATGGGGTGTTTGGCGTACACCCCAGGAGGGTTTCGACGCATAGTGGGGAGTCGCAGCCGCTAAAGGGGGGGTCAGCGCCGGCCCACATGAGGTTCCGTTAGACTGCAGGTGACACCCCTCAAATATCAGCCGAGCACCCCTTTTTGGTCCCTAAGCACCCGACAGGGTGTCAAACTCCCAAATTAGGGTGTAAAATATAGCAGCTCAACTCCCCTATTTTTCTGATATAGCTCCCCATATTGTTCCTGACCCCCACGCGGGGAACCGCGCGCCTTCAGCAGGGAATCTCTCAGAGAAGTTTCACTCCCCTATATTTCCGAAAAACTCCCGGCGAGGATTAAATGTCCTTCGGAACGAGAATCTCAGACTATATTCATAACCGGGTGAGGAGTTACTCTTTCCGTTCGCGGCCTTGCGGCGCCCTGTAGTGTGCACGACCAACGTATGACACGGTAATCAGTCTAGATATCATCATGATATAGTTGGCCACTCTACGCTATGCACGCTTTTGCCTTAGCTCCAAACATGCACCAGCCATTCGTGAAAAACAGGTCCCGATTTTACCAACTTTAGTTTGCGCCATCTATCGGTAGGATTCGAAGCTGAAAACACGGGGTGTCACTCCAGGATAATGACACCCCAGAGGGGTTTCAACGGGGGTGTCTCAGCGACACTCCAATTTTTTGGCCTGCAATTTTTGGGGAGTTCGCTAGCCGAACCTCTCCCAAGGGGGTCATGTACATTTTTGCGGCGTCAAAAGGTAATGGGGCTCCCGTGTCGGGTGTCACAACACCCATGACATCCTAAAATCATGAAAACGGAGCCTAATTTAGGAGTATTTTGGAGTATGTGGTGTCAGATTGTAAGAAATGGGGTTCCCCGATTTTTTTCAGTGTAAAATCGCTCAGTACCTATCTATAGAGTATAGACTAACTGCTAACAGTGTGACGAAACCAACTCCACCTCCCTCGCCAGCCCTCCCCCTGTAGTCACGCTCCATACCTTCCCCTATCGATCGAGAATGACCTGGTTTGGACACCGCTCCACTAAAGGCGAATTCGCTGACGGTTAAAATGTGGAGCACACGCGACAGCAGGTTACACTGTGGATAGCCGGAGAAAAGCACTGCAACAACGAACGTCGTTTGCCGATGCTTTTAGGTGTTATGAAACTGCTGGTTGTCGGTGATGGGAGATATTTAGATGCGCGATCTGTTGAGTATTGATAAGGTCGTAAAACCGAAGGATCAATCTCTTGAGGTATTCGTGGTTGGCTTACTTCAGCACGGGCCTCAATCATAGACGGTAGACACATTGGTAAATATGGAAAATAATCACAATACATTTCTTATTATGATTGAAATTTCAATCATTTTGATAAGAACTGCATAAGCTGGGGGGGGGGGGGGAAGGCGAATCCAGATTCCACTTTCTAATATGGAGCTAGAACTGGAGTACCTAACACTACGCAAGAACCCACACACTATTTTTGCACCTAGGTCAGTACTAGGTACGCCAGCGTTGAAGACGCGTTTTGTTCCAAAACACAAACATAAATGTTCCCTCAAACACTTTAGTCGCATGGATCACGGCGTCAACGCTGGACAGATTGAGTGAGTCAAGGTCCCGCTTTGATACTCATGTCTCGCTACTGTGGCAAAAATCAATTCCTCGATGGTCCGAAGGCCACTTAACCGCCAACGCCTTACCTCTATCCAACCTCAAAACGAATGAAAGCTACTTACTCACTGCTTTTCATGGCCGCACAAAGACGCTGCCTGGTATTAGAGAAGCTCAAAGTCGTTATGTTCACAATTATTCGGTGCTTGCCTCATGTCACCCACAATCAGGCTGGTAAAACAGACTTTAACATCCAATTACAGAGCCCCATAGCTTGTGATGACGTGTCAAATGTGCTGGTTTCCGTGGACTTTGGTCCTCGTATTGACGTGAGAGATAATGACGTCATAGTTCGCTCGCTTATCTTTATAGCGATTCTTGAATGCCAAGTACCAACCCCTCTCCGGAGGTCTACATTTTTTTTCTTTCTTTTTTTAGTTGACCTGTCAACGTATGTAGCGGAGTGTTAGTGCTACACAAATTTAACTTGAGTTCAACAATAACATTTAGCGACGTGAAAACAACGATTCGTCTCTTTAGATGTATGTCTCTTGGCATCAAAAAATGTCAAGAGATATTGAAGACATCTGGAATTCGGGTTTAACCTAAAACTAGTTACCACAAATAAAAATAGTATAGCTTTGAAGATCAGACTTAATCAACCCCATAGTATCACCGAATGAAATTCAAATGGCCCGGAAGTGTCGACACAGCGCGGTTGTTCTGGAAAATTCGTCACGTTCCTATCTGCGTTGCTCGTTTCAGTGTTTGACTGGACAACAAATCCGACGCTGCGTCGGGTCACGATATTTGAAACAAGGGCCGCGCGATCGATGGGGTGTCGTTAAACGCCGTGCAACGCTGGCATTTGGAGGTGGACAGCCATTGGAAATAAACTGTGGGGGTGGGGGGAGAGGTGGCATTGGCCAAACATTCCACATTTGTATTGTCTTGTATTACTGGAACGTGAAAAGCGTTGTTAAAAGCGCGCTTACGATTCTTTTCTACTTTTCGCAAACACTGAGCAGGAACTATAGCTATATCTGATCAATCCGATGGACTTGCCTTTAATGTATACTTTACACCAACATAGAAAAAATATTTAGACAATGTTTTACACAAAAATGTGCGAATGCTTTTGGAAATTTCACTTAGTTTCCTGCGAATTGGAATTTCCGTCGGCGCTTCCTTTTCGGCGGTAAAAATACCTCCACGAAGTACTGGCTACGGAATGTGCTATCAGCTGCATACCGTCGTCTGCGACCTACTTTCCAACAACGACGCTATGTGCTCCATAGTGCGCCAAGGAATGGAGGTGAATAGAAGTAGGTGTCGTGATACCGGACTGCTGTTCATATAAATGATGGTCATATAGCAACACAAATGTGACATATAGAGACCACCGGTGGAGTGGCATCGTACCTACCTACCTACCTACATATCAAACTGACCTGAAATCAAACTAAGTACCTACCACCTACCTATAGGTATATGAACTCAATATCAAATCATATTACGAATGATGCTGTGAAATAAAATGTAATCCAGTTTCATTGCAGTGAGGAAACTTTTTCTTCAAAATCCTTATTTTCGGAAAACAGAGGCTTGATGTTCTTCTTTCGATGCGGTAAAATATCATGACTATCACAAAACAAAAACAGTTTTATCTGTAAACTGTCTAATAGAATACGGCATTTTAAACGTTAAATTTGTTTCAATCCTGACCTGAGGCAGCATACATACACGGATGCACATTTCCTTGAACCACCATGTCGACATTGTACTCCATCACACCACCAAGACGTCATCATTGACGTCACAAAACACCACTGGTCGCTACCCATTCCACAAAGCCGGGCCCCATTCAGCGCGCCGCTCGGCCTGCCACCTGGCGGCCGGACGGCGAACCAGTTGCCAAGTTACGCTGGCCATCACAAATGGCCCGCGGCTATTCGGGGTCGTCGCCGCCGGCCGGTCAGCAGTCTGTCGTCGGCGTGAAGAGGATCGACGCGTCGACAGCCAGCCACAGGTAGGTCGTCGGAGCCGGGGGGTGAGCTATCGCGCTGTCAAAGCTATAGGTACGGGGGCTGACGCGAAACTATGCCATGCCTGTGAATTTGATATTAGAGGACATAATTGTGCTACCCATTAGCCGTTTGATTGTAGAATATGTGTGTAAGCTAGAGCACTTCACGGATAGGCTTTTTAGGATCCGGCCCGGCCCATATCCGGCAAGTCATATCCAGATCCGCCCATTATCCGCCTTTCTTTGAATATCAGAATCCGGCCCATCCATGGCCCGTATTGCAGCCAAACTTCCAAAAAATATCCGTAATAATCCGTTTCACCAATAACTGGTTTCACCCAAAACTGGACTAACAAATTCAATCTACATAAGGGACCAGACAGCCATACAAGTCTTATGACAAGTGAGTGTCATAAAATGATGCCTATTACTTTAATCAAACCTCTGCTGCCGCTTAACACATTAGGTTAATTATTAACTTCAATGTTGAATGTTAAAATTTTGATCCGTTTTGATCCGGGTTCAACCTTCAATTCCCAAATCAGGCCCACCCATATCCGTTCTTTTTTAACAAATTTAGAATCCAATCCTATCCGGTCCGCGGATTTATCCGTGGATAACGGATTTATCCGGCCCATGAAGTGCTCTAGTGTAAGCTATTTTATCCCTATTAGTGGCAGGCTCCTTGCTACCCCGGGCTATTAGTGGCAGGGGGGCTGTTTACGACCCCCCCTTGATATCTCGAGATCTAACGGGCCGATTTTCAAAATTCAAACGGCATTCGATTTCGCTCAACGAGATCTACATTTCTAAAAAAAAAAAAAAAAAAAAAAAAATGTCAATAGAAGGGGGTAAAAACGGGCAAATTGCAGATACATTTTAGACTGTTTATCACGGCCAGGTTTCTGAACCAATCTTAACGCAACTTTTGCCGATCGATAGAGAATGAACCAGGAATTCACATGGATCCTAAAAATATGCATTTTCAAAAATCATAGGCGGATACAGATCATTGAGATTGGGGGTACACAAAAAGT